TTATGATGGTCAGTTTTATGTGTTAACTTGGCTCAACTATGGTACTTGGTTAATTGGGTCAAACATTATTTCAGATGTTTCTTCGATGGTTTTTTTCATTTTGGATGGGATTAACATTGCAATGAGCAGACTCCAAGTAAAGCAGACATCCCTCCATAATGTAGGAGGACCTCATCCACTCAGTGAGGGCAATAGGAAAGAGACTGACTCCCCCCAATGAAGAGACAAAGTTGTCAGCAGATGCCTTTAGTCTCAAATTGCAACTTTTCCCCACCTTTGAATTTTACTCCGTTCTACCGGTGGAGTTTGGACTAAAGGCCTCTACAACTGCATGAACCAATTCCTTAAATTAAATCTCTCTTCCTACTCTCTCTCTCTCTCTCTCTCTCTCTCTCTCTCTCTCTCTCTCACACACACACACACACACACACACACACACACACACACACACACTATCAGTTCTATTTCTCTGGAGACCCTGGACTAATACACCTGTTGATACTGTGACTGTTAAGTTCCCTACAGAACTGGTCTGCTGATATCTCTAAACTTAGCACCTCCCGTCCCTCCCTGAGCCTGCCCTGTCCATCTCCAGAGGCCCCCTCAGTGTTCCCACAATGGACCAGGCACCATCTCACCTCAGAGCATCTAATTGCTGATTTTCATGTTTGGTATGCTCATCTCCAGACATCTCTAAGGCTTTCTGTCCTGTCCTCATTAAGGTCTTTGTTTGGATGTTACCTTTCCAGTGAGATCTACCTGGGCCACACATGTAAATGATCAACAGCCCCAGCACTCTTGCTTCCCTCCTTTTTCTCAATTACACTTGACATTCGATGTTATAGTAGTTTCAGATATACAGCTTAGTGGTTGGGCAATTATATAACTTACAAAGTGATCCCCCTCATAAGTCTGGTACCTATTGACACCATTCACAGCCATTACAATATTATTGACTGTACTTCCTATGCTGTACTTTACATCTTCGTGACTATTTTGTAATTGACAATTAGTACTTTTTAAGCTCTTCCCCTTTTCCACCCATTCTCCTAACACCCCTCTCATGTGGTAGTCATCATTTTGTTCTCTGTATCTGTGAGTATGCTTCTGTTTTTTTTGTTGTTGTTAGTTCATTTTGGTTTGTAGATTCCACGTGTAAGTGAAGTTATATGTTCCTTGTCTGACTGTCTTACTTCACTTAGCCTAATACCCTCTGGGTCCATCCATGATGTCACAAAGGGTAAGATGTTGTGCTTTGTGATGGCCATCTTGCTCCCCCTTTTTACATTGCCTCTATTCATAGCAGTTTTTACCTACAAGTGAAACTTACAGTTTATTTCTGACCCCAAACCCATCTTGTGTAGTGCTTACATTCCACTAAAGAAACAATGACAGTGAAGGAAATTAGTAAAGTCCATGGCGTGTTAGAAGATTAGATACTGCTATGAAGACAAAGGAGCCTGATGAGTGGAGGCAGGAGGGCTGGGGTGTAAGTCCTACATGAGGTTGGGTTTCAGGGTCTTTTTAAAAATCTGTATTCATAGAACTAAGATCTCTTGGCACAAGGGTAGCCATGCAACACATATTTTTATATGCATGGATTAGGAACTCATGCATTTAGTTTTCCCTATTAGATGTGGGAGCCCTCACCCTGGCCAGTATGGCTAAGTGGGTTGGGCATTGTCCTGAAAAACGAGGGGTTGCCAGTTCAATTCCTGGTCAGGGCACATGCCTGGGTTAAAGGTTTGGTCACTGGTCAGGATGCATAGGAGAGGCAACCAGTCAGTGTTTCTCACACCGATGTTTCTCCATCTCTTTCTCCCTCCCTTCCTCTCTCTCTAAAATTAAATAAATAAAATTACCCTTTATAAAAGGAATCAGAAATGGGAGCTCTCAGTTTGGAAACAAGACAGTAATCATTGTTTCAGACTAATATTAATCAGAGAGACATAGCCTGATCTCACCACAAAAATCCAACTTAAAGGCAAAAATTACAGTTTCCTACAGAGTGCTCCCCTGTTATGCTTTTGTCATAGACACAATCACATTAAATTTATTTAGATTTTAGGAAACCATCAAAAGCATGTTATTAACTATCTACTACATTAAAATGGTAAATGGACTAGACTTTATTAAACTAAACATTAGAAACTTGGATGGATATTTGCAGTTCTGGGAAACAATAGATAAGAAAGGGGAAACAAGTGATATATATCTCATTTTCTTCAACACACAGAAAGTGAGTTATGATTAAAGTTATATTTTTTTTCCTGAGGAGGGTTTTTTCTTACCTATCAAAACAATATTGCACAAAACTTAAACTGGCTTTGCTTCAAGGGCAGTTTAAATTCACTTCATTATAGACAAAGTGAGATATTGTGACACACTTGGGAATTCTTCCCTCTGCCACCTAGCAGTCAGAAACTCAGCCAGTTTTCATACCTGGAATCTTAGCCTAAAGCTAGAGTGGTTTTATCTTCCTGAAGGAAGCATAAGATGCAGGTGCCACTTGCCTTTGGAGAAAAGTGGTTTCTGTACTTTGTGATCTCAGCCCATCCTTCATCTCTTTTCAGCAACAGAACACAACAGTGTGAGCTATTTAGGGTGATCAAGCCATGCCTGACTAATAAAGAGTTTGAAGTCTACAAGTTGCATGTGTGTTGTGGGAAATGCCATATTTTGGATTATGGAAGAATAAAAGGAAACAAATATGAGTAAAGTAAAAGGGCGTACATCCAGTAAGGACAGTTGGGAGGATGTTAGAGACACGGGTGGTCAACAGGCCATTTTTCAGGATGTCTGACAAGGTTCACAGTGTGAAATAAGAACACAATTAGGTGATTTGAACTTGGCAAAAATGATCCTTTTTCTGAAAATAGTCGCAGAACCAACTTCATGTCACTGTTTCTCAGGCTGTAGATGAAGGGGTTTAACATGGGGGTGACTACTGTGTACATCAGAGGTACAACCATGTCCTAGTCAGTGGAGTTGCTTCATGAGGAGGAAAAGTACAGAACCGAAATTGTCCCATAGAAGAGAGACACCACAGCCAGGTGGGAGCCACATGTGGACAAGACTTTTCAGTCTGTTTGGTAGAAGGACCCTGAAGATAAAGGCTCCAATGTGGCCACAACAAACCAGGTTGCCACTCAATGGAAAAATGAAAATCATAGCCTCTAGAGTGAATATGACCAGCTCACAGGACAGCTTAAGTGGAATAGAGAGATGACAGAAAAAGTGGGGAATGATGTTGTCAGCACAGAATTACACCTGGGCAAGGAGGGGGTGTGCAACAGGGCACTGCCACAGGAGGTAATCCAGGAACCAGCCACCAGCAGTGCACATAGCCTCTTGCTCATGATACTGGTGTAGTGTAGAGGGTGACAGATGGCCACGTACCTGTCATATGCCATGATTGCCAGAAGAGAATTATCAAGACAACCAAAAAATAAATAAAAATACAGCTGAGAAATAAAGCATGGATAGAAAATGAAGAAGTGATGAGTATGCATGGTCATCAGCATTTTAGGGACATTGACAGAGGAGAAAAGATGTCAGAGGTATCCTCAGTGTTTATTTATTTGCTGAGTGTTTGGACACATGGGAAGTAGTTCAGAATCTTTAACTCCTACATGACACTGTTAATCACACACTAGCTAAAGCTTAAGATTTAGTTTCTAGTTTCTTGTTTTCTTTTTTTATTGTGAGAGTATATAGACAAAATTCTGGGTTCAAGAATTACTAGGGTACTTAGATTATTTCCCTCTTTAGTCTAATTATAGTAATAATTAAAGATATAGTTAGGTTCTTTTGTCTTCTTCATTCTATTTTGCTTCATGCACCACCTCTTCTATTTATTTTCCAAGGGTCATAACCACACTAATGATTATATTCCTCTGACATCACCATTGTCCACTTTCTCTGGGTGAACCACCTCACTAGTTTCTAATTTATACTTCGTCTGTAATTTTTTGCTCAAGTGAGCAGAAATATGTATATTTTATTTTTTCTTAATTTTTACAAAAATTTCTTTGCTCTGAGTTCCATTTGCCACATTGCTTGTACCCATTTAACAATATATCCAGATGGTTTTCCATATTGATTCATAAATATCTATGTTTTTAGTTTTTCACAGTTACAAATTACTCAGTTCATTGATGCTCTCTTTTCTTCAGGGGTCCTAAAATGAGGTATCGGTGATGAGTCTTTTAAATGCCACTGAATTGTGTATAATAGAAGACTAAAGTGGTCAATGTCATGTTTTGTATGTTAAACTTTACTTAAAAACTAAAAGGGAAGTAAGAAGTAATCTCTGCATACAGCACAGAGACAATTTTAAAACAATAACAATGTATGATTAATAAGTTAGTACAGGGGTAACAGAATATCAAAATATAGATAATTAATCAAAAGGGAGCAAAACTATAGTAATAACTATATCTATATCTATATATGCCTCTATGTCTATAGATATACAGTATCAATATTAATATGAGAAATACATGAGGTATTAATACAGGATGCATTGCTAAAAATATCTTCTAATTTTATATGAAGTAGTGTGCTTTAAGTGCATTTTTAAAAAGTCTGTCTCTCTTTGACTTAAAGTTTTGCTTTGTAGCACATGTGAATTTTCATAGTAAAATTATTCTGATCATGGGTATTGCAGTCAGCCAGCATGGTGTCATTGAATGTGAGTTGGGAAGACATGTGCACAATGAACCTGAAACTGACAAAAGTCAGCATAAATTCAGTTAAAAAAAAAGGTAAGTTTATTAGTAGCAGATGATGTTGCTAAATCAGTATGTCTTTATAAAACAGTACAAAAAGACATATGCAAAAACTTACATATCTCAGTGTAGAAAACGACAAATTCATAGTTAAAATTGTGCAACAGAGTTTGCAAAAGATTTTGCAGATACCTTATAAAAGATGATGAACAAGTGAAAATATTATTTAGGAATAAAGAATTATAAACAATCCAAGTAGTGAATCTGACCTCACTGACATATTAACTTCTTTAACCCTAATGACAAACATTCTAAGGCCTGCTTTATATCTCTGTTCCTCAGGCTGTAGATGAAGGGGTTCAGCATGGGGGTAACTATTGTATACATGACTGAAGCAATTATATCTTTGGAATCCCATGATGAGGACAATAAGTAAACACCTACAAGTGTCCCATAGAATAAAGACACCACAAGGAGATGGGAGCCACAGGTAGAAAAAACTTTCAAGAGTCTCTTAGTAGAGGGAGCCTTCAGGATGATGGTTCCAATATGGATATATGAGCCCAAAACAATAGCCAAAGGCAGGAAAGAAAGCATTCCTCCCTCTGTCAAGATGACCAGCTCATTGAGGGAGACGTCTGAGCAGCTGAGCTTCAAGAGCACACTGAGTTCACAGAAGAAGTGGGTGATGACATTATTGGCACAGAAGGATAGTTGGACCAAGAGGATGGTGTGTAAGAGGGCATTGCCACAGGAGATAATCCAGGATCCAGCCACCATCAGCACACACAACTCCTCCCTCATAATGATGCTATGGTGTAGTGGGTGACAGATGGCCATGTATCTGTCATATGCCATGACGGCCAGAAGGAAATTGTCAAGACCACCAAAAACTAAGAAAAAATACAACTGAGAAATGCATCCCACATAGGGAATGGATTGCTGTTGTGTGTGCATATTCATGAGCATCTTAGGAACAGTGACAGATGACAGAGAAATATCAGAGAAGGCCAAGTGGCTGAGGAAGAAGTACATGGGAGTGTGCAGGTGAGAGTCCAGCCTGATGAGCAGGATAATGAGCAGGTTGCCCAGCACTGTGATCAGGTACATACACAGGAATAGGGCAAAGAACACTTCCTGCTGCCCTGAAGGGATGGGGATCCCCAGAAGGAGGAACTCGGACAGGCTGCTCTGGTTCCCAGGCCTCATGCTGCTCATCTCTCTACTGGACATTAGGAAGGTTTGGGCCTCTCAGAATTCTGGAAATAAAACCAAGATCATCACATCTCATACTGTAATTTTCTGGGAAAACCATGAAATTTTATCTATCTATAACCTTATGAATTTTTGTACTAGTAAATGTATACATCTCTGCTGTAACCCATCTGGTTCCAGGAAAACACTGAACCCAAAAAGCAGCCAAAAAGACCTCATTACACAGAAGCAGGAGGTGTTTACCATTTCATTCAGTCATTACTTATTGAACACCATCTGTGTCAGGACCTCTACTAAGGAGTCAGATGCTACAGTGAACAAGAAAAGCAAGGTGCCCATTTCTAGGAGTTTACAGCTCAATGAGCAAGGAGGGACAATTTGTACACTAGTCCAGTGAATACACAATTCACTGCAGCAGAATTGGAAGATGAGCCCTGAAAACTGGGATCAATTGTGTCTGCCTTAAGTAAATATGAGACTCCAGTGCTGAGAAGATACTGGAACAATATGACACTCTGCCTATGAACTTGCCAAGTCCCATTGCCCTGCAGCTGTAAAGCAGGGACACTCTAGGAACTGGTGGCCTTTTAAAGCCACTTGATGCCACAATAGCTCTGAAACCAGAAAAGTCCACAAACTGCCTTTTATAACAGTGCTGAACGTCTCGGTGAACATCCAAGTACTGGACTTAGGACTTTACCACTGTTCCCTAGTTATATCCACTCATCAGCTTTACATTCCCAGATAATACAACCACTTCACAGCTGCAGTAAAAATTTGTGGTCTTTCACCTATTTCAGCTTTTAAGAAATAGAAACATAAGTGATACAACCTCTGTGGGCAATGAGCAGTACAGTGGCGGCCAGAATGTTACATAGTCGTGTGTATTTGTGTTTATATTACATGTGATATATAACACAGAAATGATATACATGTGTTAATGTGTTCTATATATCACAGTTAACAGGTATTAGCTGCTTCAAGGAGTTCAGTGTAATACAACCGTTTAATCAGCACCCATGGTCTAAACCATTTCACATGGAAACTTCCGATTAGTTGGCTGTGGAGCAAAGCATGATATATTATTTTACAGCTGTCAGGAGTCAAATTTGTACAAAATTTTTTCAATCTTCTTACTATTTTGTTCCTTCACATTTGTTCCAAGTGAGAAAAATTCTCCAATACATACAAATTTTTATACAATAAGCAATTACTGCAGGCCTCTCTAAGATACACAGTGATGTGTAATTCTTTCCATTTTATAGATGTAAACTGAGGCCAAGGATTTACATAACATTCCACGGTCACCACTATTTGAAGGTCATTCTGCCAAATAACTTCTCACAGCTGGATGCCTGGATTTTATTTTCCCTGGGATGTTTAGTAAAAATAAAGAGTTGCAAATTCTGAGTGACTCAGTGACTACACTCAGGTACATGAATATGACACTGGGTCTGTTTCCAGACACAGGACGTGTTTTGGAGTTGGGTTCTCTCAGCTAATGGTGCCCCAGAATGAGGACACTTAAGAAAAATTGAGGTCGTTGATGCACATCACACACACACAGTGCTGATTTGTGAATATTACTTACCTGTTACCAAGTTGCCACCCTAAGGGAAGGAGAGCTCATAAACATACATGCATATACAGAGAGATGATCAGAAACACACAAATGAGACATACACAACACACATTGATGGACCAGTCACCTGCAAACACACTCACAATGCACATCAACACACCTGACTCATGACACACCCAGTAAACAGCTCACCACATACACACTAACACTACACATATGTCACCAAAAACACAGAAGGCCACCGGAAAAAATCTCACAAGAAACACACATGAACAGCATATATGCACACCCAGGCATACACTCACCACACAAGCAGCACACACCCTCCTATTAAAAATGAAGGCATGCTTCTGCCCTTCTCACACATCCCCTTCCTGGGGGAAGGCCTTCAGCCTGGGGCAGGTTAGCCTATTCAGTCACAGGTGCACTCATTAAACCACCACAACATGGTGCACACATGGTAAACAACAATGCCATGTACATGGTCACACAATAGGCCAATATACAGAGAAAACCAAACAGTATAGCTTCCTGCTCTCACACACCAGTGTGTCACCCACAACACAGCTCACACGTGCACCAGCACATGCTGCTGAGCAGAGGTGTGACCCTTCTCTGACCTGAACTTGGCTTCTCTGAGGTCAGGCATCTTCTTGTCCAGCACCAGAGCCTACAAGTTCACCTCTGATGCTCAGCTGTCATGCAAGAAATTCCATGAATCATGAGTCCCTAATCACAAGCAAGAGGCTGATAACTTGGTATCCATGTGATAAAATGTGGCCAGGTTAGGTCTGCCTCAGGGAGAATCAGGCTGAGTCAGATACCTGTGTACACACGTGTGCACACAAATGCAACTATCAATCAGAATGTACACAAGCATATACAGTACCTGAAGACTCGCAGAGACAGACGCATAGTCATGAACTTAGAGTCTCATCCATGAATCAACCATCACACAGGCAGATCTGTGTCCATCAGTGTGGAAATCCAGCCTCTCTGACCTGTGCTCATCTTTGGTGAGATTAGACACCTTCTACCCTAGACTGTTGCCCCGCTCCTCAAGTTCTCTTCAGGAGTCCTAACATGGACACAAATAGAAGAAACATCTGGTGCTTGGCACTTCTGCAGACTTTCATTTTGTTTAAGCAGCTCCAGAATAATGACTCAACAGATAACCCCTATTAATGAGAGACTGACACCCAGTTCCCAAGCTTCTGGCTAATTCTGCCTGCCCTTTGGGGAGCTGGGTGTCCAAGAGCCAGAGGGACTAGAGTCCTTGGGGACCATGTCCCTGATTCCAGTGAAGCCTGGACTTTTTTCTTCTTGGGCATGTGCCATGTGGGACAAAGGACTTTTCAAGTTTTAATTTGGAAAAGATTTTAAAGATACAGAAATGTTATAAAACTGATGTCAAGAATTCCTGGAAAGGCCCTGCCCTGATTCCCCAATGTTTAATGTTTTACTGTGTTTACCTTCTGTGTGCATGTATGTATTAGTGTATGTGTGTTTCAGCTTAGATTTTCCCCAGGTATACCACAGTACATCTTATAAGAAGACATTTGATATTAATTTTTTCATTTACTAGTGCTCGAATCCATGATCAATATACTGTGGTGGTATCTGCCAGGTTCTTTTACATAGTTATCAGTGTTTTAAAGTTAATATTTTAACCTGGTTATTAGTAGATATCATTTGAGTATATATTTTGATGATATATAAATGTAACTGTCTCCTTATTAGAATTTCAACCACTATTTTAACATCCATTGGTGATTCTTTTTTTCTTTTTTTAAAATTATATTCTTTGATTATGCAGTTACAGTTGTCCCAATTTTTCCCAATTTTGCCCCCTCCACCCAGCACCTCCCACTCCCTCAGGCAATCCCCACTCCATTGTCACATCCATGGGTCATGCATATAAATTCTTTGGCTGCTCCATTTCCTTTCCTTTACATCCCCATGACTATTCTGTAACTACCTGTTTATACCCAATTCTCTCACCTCTTCACCCATTTCTCCACACTCCCCTCCATCTGGCAATCATCAGCACACTCTCCATATCCATTTTCGTATCTATCCTGTACTTGTTTGCCTAGTCTGTTTTTCATATTCAATTGTTGATAGCTATTTATTTATTGCCATTTTATTGTTCATAGTTTTTCTCTTCTTCTTTTTCTTAAATAAGTCCTGTCAACATTTCATATAATAATGGCTCGGTGATGAAGAACTCCTTTAGTTTTTTCTGTCTGGGAAGCTGTTTGTCTACCTTTTGATTCTAAATGATAGCCTTGCTGGGTAGAGCAATGTTGACTGTAGGACCCTGCTTTTATTGACTTTGAGTATTCTTGCCAATCCCTGAAAGCCTGCAAAGTTTCTTTTGAGAAATCAGTTGATGGTCTTATGGGAACTTTTTTGGAGGTAACTGCCTGCTTTTCTCTTGCTACTTTTAAGATGCTCCCTTTATTTAACCTTTAGCATTTTAATGATGATGTGTCTTTGAGTAGGCCTCTTTGTGTCCGTCATGTTTGGGACTCTCTGTGATTCTTGGACTGGCATGTCTATTTCCTTCACCAAATAACAAAAGTTCTTTTTTATTATTTTTCCCAAATAGATTTTCAATATTTTGCTTTTTTCTCTTATCTTGCTGGGACCCCACATGTGAATGTGGAACATTTGAGATTGATGCAGAAGCTCCTTAAAGTATCCTCAGTTTATTTTTTTATTCCTTTTTCTTCCTGTTGTTTTTTATTTTCTTAAGTTCCAAGTCACTGATTTGATTCTCAGCTTCATCCACTCTGCTGTTGTTTCCCTGGAAATTGTTCTTGATTTCAGTTAGTGTATCCTTTGTTTCTGACTGGATCTTTTTTATTCTGTTGAAGTCTTTACTAAGTTCCTTGAGCAGCCTTATAACCAGTATTTTGAACTCTGCATCTGACAGAGTGCCTATCTCCATTTTGTTTAGTTTTATTTCTGGAGTTTTATTCTGTTCTTTGATTTGGGCCTTGTTTTTTTGTCTACTCATTTTGGAAGCTCACCTTTGTTTGTTTCTGTGTATTAGGTAGAGCTATTATGACTCCCTGTATTAGCAGAGTGGCTTAATGTTATAGGTGTCCTGTACAGTCCCTTAGCACAGCTTCTCCTGTCACCCAAGCTGGGCATTTGAGGTGTTCAATTCGTGTGGGCCAAGTATAATCTCTTCTTGTAGTTGAGCCTTGGTTGCTCCTGGCAGATTAATGGGAATGATTTCTGCAGGCCAGTCACCTACAAGGATTGGCTGTGACCACTTACCACCAACCGTCACCCTGTGTGGAAGATCAGCTTTGCAGGAGCAAGGAGATGGTGCTCTGACATGGTCTGTGTCTGTCCACTGGATGCATAGGCTCTGAGGTTTCTCATGTGGTGCAGGACAAGCTTAGCCACCTCC